AGCAGGAATCAAGATTTCTCTACACTATGGCAACAAGCTCCTTATGAAGTCTGTCTAAAAAGCTTTCCCATGACTAAAATATCCCCCCACATGGCCATCCTCCTCCTCACTCTTCATGGTATTTCAGAGCACATGTAGCCAGCTCAAGGTGGAACTGAGGCTGTACAGCCATTCCCTGCTAGATGTACCTTGCCTTCACAGTGCAAGATACACATTTTAGAGCTGATGCTTAAGTTCAGACTTTTTACATGACTTGAAGTAGGTGTGCATGCTCGAATATCTTTGTTCTTTGCCCTACATAGCAAATTCAATTGTTACAGGTATACCTTGGTTGATACTGCAAGTATCAGCTGTAAACCAGTACCTGAAAAGACCTTGAAGCCTAAGGGACACCCTTGCTCCAGAGACAAGGTGCAGTGAGGTTTTGTTCATTATGCAACAGATGAAACTGAAGATTCTGCTGTTGCAGAACAAGTAGTCGTATACCCTTAACAACACAGAATAACTAAGAGATTGGGACTGAAGTAATTTATACCCTTTTAGAAGCTCATGTTTGAGAGACTGGCATGAAGGTAGATAACTTTCCATCAAGGATGTATGAACCAATTACCAGCAAGTTCAACTGAATGTCACAAAGAGGCTCAGGAAGCCTCAGCAAAGCATTACCACCACAACTCCAACCGCTAATCATGTTGTAATCTTCTCTGTAAGGGTTAGGAGAGTGTGCTTAATGCTCTCCCAGGTAACTATTTAGTATCAAGAGTCAGCATAAATTGTGCGCATGTGGGTGGGAACTTCCTGCACATCTAGAAAAGCTGTTAAGTTTGAGTAAACACTGCTAACTGGGTATTTGCCTGTCTAGTCTCCTCTTCAGCTGTCACCTACTACCCTACCCAAGGCTCTATCAGCAATTTAAGTAAGACAATATAGTATTAAAGCACTTCTAACTTGTGGGCAGCTAAGCAAGGATAAGCTGTTACAGTAGTCTTGGATTTGTCTCCTGTTTTAGCACAGAGATGCCAAACTTGTGCACCACAGCCCATATTTTTGGCAAGCCTACCATGACTCCAGCACTTAATTCAGCAAACAAAAGAGGATGGGGGAAGATGAGGGGAAGAGTTCGTGGGCAGAGATGGGGAAGAGATGCGTGCTGTTTTGGGGGCATAGCTAAAAGATTCAACCTTACTTCAAGACTGATTTTTAAGATCCAACCACCTGCTGCTCAGCCTGGTTTGAATTTGCATCCTCTGCAGTCGGCTAACAGGTAAGACTGACTGGAGGTCTTCCAGTAACTGCAGCTGGGGTAAAGACTTCCAGCCAGGTCCCCATCTTTCTTAGGTAAATCCCAAACAGGCAGCAACAGTCAGAGCTCCTCGCCCCACTCCAGCTGAGTTTTATAGGGCATAAGCTGTTTTAAGAGCTATAAAGCTACTTAACCATCTTAAGCCAATCTAGGTTCTGTAGCATCAATTTGATCTTAAAAGTCTTACCAGTTTACAGACAAGAAAAGCTTTTTAGCATCTGATCCAAGGCCTTAAAACTGCATTAAGATGCTCTGAAGCAGTACTACAGAAACCCAAACATTAAGCAAGCCTTAAATTACTACATTTGTGCTCCTATTTCCACATTATGCTCTCTCCCCTCCCTTTAAAAGCAGATAACCTTTTCCAGCCCCCAAGATTTGTACATTAAATGAACCGAGCTGCACAGCTATAGCAGTTACTGGACAGTATGATTACAGGCTTCTACAGCCCTCTTAGTAATGGTCAGCAGCCTGTGGCTTAAAGGTTGTTGTCTGTTTAGGAACACCTTCTCCACCATTTTCTTGAGACTAAATGCTGCCTTCACCTACTGGTATTAAAAAAAAAACCAACAAAACCAACAAAACAAAAACAACAACAAAAAAAAACAACCAACCAACCAAAGAAACACACAACCAAAACACAACCCCAAAAAACCCCAAACAGAACCCTCTTAGAATGATCAGTATTCTTCCAAGAATATTCTTCCACAAACACTTTTGAGTGTTACAGTTCAGGATTATGGGGTTGCTAGCACTGCTCTTTTCTTAAACCAAAGCCTCAGCCCACAGCATTTCAGGCAGCTGATGCATGTCTTAAGTGAAGGCAGCAGTTCTCTCTTCCTCTCAATCCAATTACAAACTGAGACTAATTTCCTGAGATCTTGTGAGGGAGTAGATCCACACTCCAACATATTTTGCCACTAGAAAAGCTGATATCACAGTAAGGCTGTTAACCCATTCG